CCTATGAAAAAAGGAGGGCAGGGTGTGTCAGCTGGACACCACAAATTTGAAAACTTAGATTTACAATGGGGCATTGGTATTCATACAAAGTGTAATGACATTTATATGTTGCCATTAGAAATCTACCCATTTCCTAGTTCATCACAATTTAATTGAAGAGGTAAACAAATCATCAACAATAGTAATGTGCATTAATTTTAACTGGGAAGTTGAAAACTCACTTTTGACAGCATTTTTATCATCATGAGCAGAATGCACTCCAAAGTTTTCATCACCTTCACCACTTTGATGCAACTTCTCAATAGCCAGGTCTTCAAACCTTTGAGCAGGGTTTGTTTTGTGAGGAAACCGTTGCATGTTGATATCACTGTTGCAGTCATGCTTTTGCTCTTTGACTGACTTCATCATGAGCTTGTCATGGTCTGGATGAGGATGTTCCACATTGAGGTCATGTCCAGCATGGGAAATTGTAGTCCTTTCTTTCTATCAAACATGCTCATAAACCAAATTAGCTTTATTGCTGAAACATTATCAGATGTTAAGAGGGATAAGGGTAGAAGAAACCTTGTCAGTATGCAATGACCGCACTGCAGGCACAGCATGTCCACTGTCTCGTAGTATTGATGTTCTACCAGAAGGAACATAATGAGTAGAGGCTGTCGCTGAGGCATCTGGCAGAAAGTGAGTGAACTCATTAAGGAGATCTGGGTGGTCTTGGAAAAGCGTGGCAACCTACAAGAAAGCGTGTGTGGTTTATAATAATCAAAACCAAAAGGAATTGAAGCCTACTACCCTAAAAAGAATCAAACCACAATAGACGAAAAAAGAGAAGTAGATGAAAAAAAGAAATTGACTAACATACCTCCTGGTAGACCTCACTGATGGACTTGTTTTCCTTTCTGTACATGTTCAAAATGTCTAAAAATGACTTATAAACACGATCATCACCCTGAAACCTTGTCTGCAGTAATAACATCATAAGATTACAACACTTGAAAGCCCACATAGCACCTGACATTCAGATATAATACAATATATCTACCTTAATCTTGTTCACAAAATTAATAGCTTCTTCAAATTCAACAGGCTTCTTTTGTGGAGGTTGTTCATCCTCCAATGGGAGAGTGATCTCATATCCCTTTGGCAAAAAGGTGTTGAAACTTAAAATAAGGTCTTGATGCCCTTTAAATAGTTCCTTAACCCTTGCTATGACACCTGCAGTATCAATTCTGAAACAGATGTATCATCAGCATAAATCAAAATCAGTTTCCCATAAATATCACCATAAAAAACAGAAAGCCAGAATGGTGATCAAACCTTTGAGCCTTAAAATCTTTCATTACTTCAAGAAAGTCATCGTATTTTTCTCTTTTATCTTGAAATGTGTCCTTCACTGCCTTGAGATATTCCAGGGCATCACTAGTTGTTAGTTTCTGCGCACATCCTCCTCCATTCATTTGTGGTTGCCCAGAGCTTCATTAACATCCCAAATAATTAGATTTGAAAATCTTTAAAAAATTA